CCCCCCCCTCGCCTTGTTGCTTGCCCGCCACCTTTTTGACAACTCTCCAAGTTCAGCTATTTCTCCACTTAGAAAGTGATTTCAGGAAATTTTGACATACTTTACTTGTTCTGACCTTCCAAGGTTTCCCCGGGCCTGAATGCAATGCAGAATCAAGCCATCACTCGCACTAGTCACCAGCTCAGATCTGTTCAGTTCGGAGATCTTCTGAAAGATTCACCCTTGACAGGGTGCTCGTCCCCCACCCCGCAGTCAGCAACAGCACAACCAGCGCAACGACAAAATCAAAACCTGAACTGATCTACCACAGCAACCATATCAACATCCAGAGCGTCGAAACTCCCAAGGTTATGTGCGCTTCTCGAACTACCTCCAGAAGTGGTCGCAGCGACGCTTGGGCAAGTCTCAAACATTCCTTGGGTGGAAACCCTGCTTTGTGCATTGCTGCAGTGTGGCTGGAGTTCGTGCGAATGCAATGGCCAGAGTCTACAGTGTATCTTCAAGGACTTTTTGACATCTAAAGCTCAGGACTACACCGAAAGCTGCTTTGCTCCCGCTGCCTGGATTTGGAGCAAGGGCAGCTGGTCCCGGTGGTGAAGGATTGCAGTGTTGAATCTGGGACGTGTCGGAAAAGACTGCGGATGTCCGAGCGGTACCTTGGGCCTTATGTTCTCGTGGTTCTGAGCCCAGCCACCGCACGCTGGCTGCCTCGGGCAGCCTGTATCGGACTGGCGAGAAATCGAAACTTGCTCTCTGGCGCCTGAAGGAGGTGATGGCCGAAGGCGAAGTTGGCTTTGGAGGGAAGGCAGCTTGTCGTGCTATGGAGGACAACCCCCCTGCAGCGCTTGGCACCCGACACAATCCAGGAGATAGCCGCAACAAGATTAATCTGCCGCTCCCTGGACCTTCAAGGTAGTACCGGCAGACGTTCTGGCGCAGCAGTTGCGGACCATCTCGAAACGGCGCTGTTTGGTTGTGCCAGCTCGGCAAGGTTTATGAATGTGGGTACAGTGAGTGCAGCTCTTTCATTTGGGCAATGGGAGCAGGTCACCTTTAGGGGGGGTCCAAGAAGGGTTTGCGATAAGGAAAGTCAGAATGTGCAACAGCTTGCAGGCGTGGCTGTCGATGTTTGGCGAGTGTCGGGGCTTTCTTTTCGGACAGGCGGGTGGGTCTACGACTCATCAGGCTTAAAGACCAGGGGAGGCATTTGCCACAGCTTGCCTTAATTTGACCCGACTGTGCTGCAGGTACATTGTGGATGTGCTGGACTTCAACGGCTCGTTTATACGCTCCTGGCCTATGTAAGAGCGTGTGCTTTCATGTTCTGAAAGACCTGGCTGGGAGGACTTTGACACAGCATAGCTTTCGGCATCCTTTGACAGAGCGCATGATTAGGATTGAAGCTTGGGTCCGGGTCGCAGACTGTCAGGCAAGATCCGCCAGATTGTCGGGAAGAATCCTGTAATCTTGGTCGGAACCAAGATTGACTCACGGCTGGTGCTGGAAGTGTGTGAGTTTGAGGGCGTTCAGGTCTGTGCCGCTTTGATAGCTCTCATGTTGTCGCAAGAAGAAAATGCCAAGACAGAGAAGAGGCTGTGAGCCGCGCTCGGTCTCTGATCAGTGACCCCCCGTCCTCCCATGCAAGGATCTCTTGCCACCCAAGACGAAGCTGGAGCTGGTAGAGAAGTGGCTGCTGTACATACTGCGCAAGAAGAAGCTGCGAGTTGTGAATGCCGCCTGGAGAACAGAGCGGAAGACATTTGGCAGATTTTTTCCAGGGCAAGGACTTGTTATGGCTTGGTTTCCAGTCTCACTGCTCTCTGGAACATGCAACCTGCAACTGTGCAATGTCGCGAGGTAAAGCTTGTCAGCAACGAGACGGGGAAGCACATTAATCATGCAGTGAATGCTATCATTGAAGCACGATCGGGCATGGATGTGCTTCTTGGCAGCATGCCGGCAGTTTCACCACAGCGAGACCTGCAACTCGGTGGCCGACCGACCTGATGTTGACAGAACGGTTCGCTGCTTGTTCCACGGGGAGAAATATGAAAAGCTGCAGCTTAACCGATCCTACTTTGACCCCGTCCATTGCCCATTGCAAAGGTTCGTCGTGGGTGCGGCCAATGCTGGCAAGTCTCGATTCATCACGCGGCTACTGGACCGGCTGGAGGCTTCGAGTTGGTGGGCACGGGAAAGTGCTAGCCAGCAGTAGATTTGCATCAGTGTTTTGAAGGCACAGGGAATGAGTCTTGAAACGAGGACACATCACTGGTTTGCTTCCCTGACCTGCGCGCTGGCAAAAGACAAAACGCGGTACACGATAATCTACGATGTCATGTGTTGTGAAGAACTGTTCCCAATTGTGGTAGCGGTGAGGTGATGAGCAAGACAATCCGAACGAGAGAATGGGGATCAGAACGATATGTCATTCGCAAGTATGGCCTCAACAAAAAGCGCCATCGCCACAAGTGCAGTTGCTTCGCGAATATTGCCTGTCTGGTTTTGGCATCATGTATACCGAGCTATTAGACTAACGTATGCACGTGATATATAGTAATATAGTATAGTTGGCACAATATACTATGGTATAATGTTATATCATATAACATGATACAACTTAATATAATATGATGTAGTTGAGGAAACATATTGTAATGTAATGTAATACGACAGGTCATGTGCATCGTAATGATTATCCTCTAACTTTGGAGACCGGGTCGCTGTGAGAGTACGCTTGTTTTATAGTTGTTGCTATGGTTTCAGTAATCTTTAACGTTATGTTTATCCAACCTGGTCTGTATAACTTATGTGGATATGCGTTCATGTGGGTACATATTATATATATATACACCATTCGTCTGTATTGTCTTGTAATGTAGTTTAATGTAATGTGGTGTAGTGTAATGTAGTGTAATGTAATGTAATGTAATGTAATGTATACGTGCTTGCATGCATGCACTACTACATGTGTACATACCCATACACCCACTTGCATGCATATCTACACCATTTAGCATGTTTATATGTGTCATGGGACTCCCGCATGCACCAGCGTCGACCCATTCAGGAACTGTTCCCGCAATTCCGGCACAGAATTCAGGAACTTTCGGCCTTGGGGCTTCGAAATGAGGGCTTCGGCCTCAGGGTTTCGGCTTTACGTTTTGGCTTTCGGGTTTCGGCCTCAGGGTGTCGGCCATAAGGCCATAAGGTTTCGTTTCGGTCTTGGGGTTTCGGCCTTCGGGTGTTGGCTTTCGGGTTTCGGCCTTAGGGTTTAGCCTTAGGGTTTGCTTGCCGCCCACTTCCCTCAGTACCCATATTGTGCAGAAGTTCTGCGCACACTTACAACACGTAGGACGAGAAATGACAATAGCAATAACTCAGTACGACCCATACTGCCGACATTAACAACAATATCAGTGAGACTACTAACAATAACAACAACAACAATAATCAGAATGGTGCTGAGATTGCCAGTAACAGTTTTTTGGCCGAGCTTTGACTGCACGCCGCTTCAGTCCCAGATTGACACCTGTCTCGCGTCTACGGTAACAAGGGTTCCCTCAGCGCATTCTGCCCACATGATCCTACATGTTTGCCGCGGCAGTGCTCCGCCAGCGACGCTAGGTCCGGCCATGTGCAAGTGAGCCATTTGTGCTGGAAATTTATATCTGTCTTGATTGGCGCTTCGCGGGTCTGGAACTGGGACATGCATTCCGCGACACGGGTTCCGGAATCCCACCTTTTCCCGAATCCTGGGTCCTGAACTGGCCACGCGGTTCCCACATTTAGTTCCCGAGCGGGTCGTTATCCTGCATACACATTGCTAAGAGAGCTCAAACTAGATCGTTCACTTTTGGGCATTACGACATGACAGGTCACAGGGTGCACGCGCATAAACTGTAAGCTTAATCTTCATCGTATCAAAAGACATAGTTCTGCAAAGAAGCACGTATAACATATAATCTAAGTTGCACCGCCCTACGAGTCCACGGTATGTACTAACAATAAGAACAGTGGTTTTGAAAATAATACCCTTATAATGGGGCCGCTGTTTATCCGACAACATAACAAACTCGAAGCCACATATAGCATATATACTCGTTCTAGCTAGGTGGGAGGCACAAAATGTGTCTCTCTCTGTCTCTCTAAATATATACACATCTGTAAATATATTCACATATATATACATATATATATATATGTACGACTTTATACATACACATTCGTGCACACACACACATATATATGCATACATACATACATACATACATACATACACACAGACAGACAGACAGTCAGACATACAGTCAGACATACACAGATACATACATTACATTACAAAAATTACATACATTACATACAGTATTTACAGTACATACAGTACATACAGTACATCCATTACATCCATTACATACATTACATTCATTACACACATTACATACATTACATACATTACATACATTACATACATTACATACATACATATGCCTCTGCAGATGCATATACATATCCATATATGAACAAGTGTGTATACATGCAGATGTATATACACAAAGTATAAACATATGCCAAGATGTGTATGCCGAAATTCGTATTGGACAAAACAGGCGAGTGGCAACACAGAAGGGGTAATAGTAAGCCTTACATACATATGTAGAGAAATTTAGGCATCAATGTAGACATATATATATATATATGTACACATACATATATACATATTGATTTACCCAGCTTGTTTCTCTACACATAACTATAGTTTGATATATGTACATGAATACACGTACACCCACACATCTACATACATGTATATATATATATGTATATGTATATATGCTCTACGCCCCCCCTTTTCCCAAAAAAAGAGAGTGCATTTTTATTCCTTCATTGTTAGAACCAGTACCGTGAAATCAAGGCTTCCAAACGACGTATTAAAATACAAGCCAAACCCTCCACCAAAATCCCTTCCAGGACGGTCATCCGCTTGCAGTCGGGACACCTTGGCTGATCCAAGCCACATAAACATACCAAGAATCAGACATCGGTTTGCTCCAAGATTTGATTTATCCAGTAGCGAATCATACAGTAGCCAAGATAATCATTCAGACAGGTCTTTACGAAGTGTAGCCTCAACATAAGACACAATGACACAATGTGAGTGTGTTGATGATGTCGACATACAGCAGACATGAGCTTTTTCCATGTTTTCACGAAAAAAAAGGTCGGTATCTCCCTGTGCTGTCGGACTTTTCGGGCCCGCTTGAGAAGCAGAGGAGTGAAAGCCTGCCATATTTTTTTGCATGGGAAACGCAGCAAGCTATTCGCGAGTAAAGAGGGCGCCATTACATCTGAGCTGTGTTGATGGGAGCAAGGCTGGAAGCTAGTCGCGAGCAAATACTGCACCATTGCATCAAAGATGTGTTAAGCGGCTCTTAAAGTTTGCCATGGATGCTTGCCATTTGGTGAATGAGAATGTTGAAGTGTGGAAACGTGCTTTGGCCACTGCAGCAAGTCATCTTTTTTGTCTTTGTGCGCCGCATTTTAAAACTTATTCGGTTACTTCTTACCTGAAAGTATAAGATACGATGCGATGCTAAAAACAGAGTGACAAATGTGCATCATATACATATACCATAGCGGGATGTAGCAACAAATAGCATGTTTTCCTTGCCACGGCACGAATCTGGCAATCATGGGTGCAACAACAAGTGACTGAAGCTCCACGGTGGTGTCAAGTGCAACATGGTGTTTTGAAATACAGCATGCCATAGCCAAAGCGCTGAAGAATTTACTGCAGCCTTACATTTTGAAAGAGGTGAAACGAGTGCCTCGAACTGTTGTTTCAGTACAGGAGCTGCTGTCGTGTATGTTGCCATTCGTCAGTTGCCTGTGTTTTCAGTGTAAACGTTTCTTGTAGGTTAAGTCTTGCAGTTCGGAACATTGCCGCGAAAGAAAACGGAACCGTACCATCGCATCTTCTAGACCTTGCTTGACTTCACCTGTGCTTCTGCGGCATGCTGCCGCCGTAGCTTGTAATTTTTTGGGAGAACAGGAAACCTTGAACCTCCATTCGCTTGAAAGACGCTGCGGTTCTGATTCCACTGGGACGTGAAGAAGCTACAGATGTCAATTATGTTGTTGATATTGCCGCCTTCAGGTTTTCACGTTCAGGCTCGAACTGAAATGCAGGAATTCGAGGATCCATGGGTGCGAATCAGAGGTCGAGGGTTTTAGGGTTTCGGGTTTAATGCAGAACTGGTTTGGGGTATCTGCGAGAAAGAAACACGTATCTAGCATGGAAATAGCTGAGAGATGGGTCCAATCAAAACAACATCGGACGTTAGAAGCTCAGGTCTGAAATGTCCGCATGAAAGACTGGAAGACTGCAGTTCAGTTGGAATGTGATCTTTGACATTAGCTAAAAGGTTTAAGTCGATGCAAGTGTTCGGGTAGTGTGCTTTACCTGAAACATTGATTGGCTAGTTGTTGAAGTCAGCACAGAATCAAATAGAGAACAGTGTGACAAGAGAGAGTTAGAAAATATACGTGCGCCAGAACAAACACATGTTACCACATGACAAATATTCTAGAACGAAAGCCCACATAATTCAAATGACAGTGTGTGTAAAAAAAATGTAGAGGAAAAAGCTGACGATGCATGATTTAGATTGGAATTTCCAGAGTATTAACGTTGCGTATTAGTGACTTTTTGGGGTTTCATTTCTGATAACACTACTAGTGGTTGGGCTAGTGGTGACGATGATGGTGATGGCGATGGTGGTGGTGGTGGTGGTGAGGGAATAGTAGTGGCGGTGCTGGTAGCGGTGTTGGTGGTGGCCAGTTCCCGGATCAAAGATTTGCTGAGGAGAGTTCCTGGCCCGAATAAGGTCTTATTCAGGCTCATTCGCTTACTCGGGTCAGTTCCTGGATCCAGGACTTGCCGAGAAGAGTTGGTGGATGCAGGCAAGGAACCTCGCAAAATGTAGTTTGTTTTTTTTTTGGGGGGGGAGGGGTCTACCATATATATTTCTATATGTATGTATGTAAGTATGTAAGTATGTAAGTGAGTATGTATGTATGCATGTATGTATGTATGTATGTATGTATGTATGTATTTCCGTAGATACTATAGTTAGATTCTTGAGGGTTGGAAGG